CAAGACTCGTTCCGTATTGTTTCATGTTTTTTTTTTGCTTGCTGTTCGCCGCTATGTGTGCGTGTGTGGCGTGAATGGTTGTTATGTTTTTTTCTTTATTTACATGAATAAACGCAATACAGAAAATATATAATAAGATGAATCACAAATTCATTCGGGGTTTTTCCGTCCATTCGAAGGTCGATACAGAACATTAAAGAATATAATATTATAAAAACTTGTATACTAAATACTGTCTATAGTTTACGCGAGTAGTACACATTTAAATAAAACGCGTTAACGGTTTAAAACGCGATTTATTGGTTAAACTTATTTGAAAATGATTTTTAACTTCGGCCTGACGTTTCGGTTAAAAAAAACCCTTTAACAGTTTAAAAATTGATTTAAATACGGCGTAGTTAAAATATTATTCAAATAAGTTTAACTAATATATATCGAGTTTTAAACCGTTAAAGTATTTTATTTAAATTATGTTCTTCAGTCTTTGTAGCTAGACGCGTCAGAGATCGCATAGGTAATATCTTCAAGCTTCCTCAGCGCAAACAAAACCTTACATTTTACATTTTGAAAGCATTTTTCACGGGGCCATAACCGTAATCGTTTTCCCACTATGAATCTAGTTGTAGAGCAATTTCTCGACGTTGTACATAAATTACAGAGCAATGTAGGTAGTATTTCATTGTAAATTCCAGTGTAGACAGCGGCATAACGTCGCAAATCGCTCCCCGGCTAACAGTCGGCCACTAAATCTTGTGCAAGCCTTGGATTTACGTTGCCAGTTATATTGGTTAACTTATTCGCTATTCAATTGTATTATATACTGGCTGTCGTTATTTTAACATATGAAGTATGTAATTCGACCAAAATTCGATTACTAGAAAACGATTTTCGTGAGGTAATCTTAAAAGATAGACATAATATAGTGCGGACATTTTCCTATTTTATTCAAAAAATAAATCTTTCCCACATTTTTGAATCTGGAATCGTTTTCCCATTGCGCGCGAGGGAAACATAAAAGATTATAAATATAAACTTTCCCAATTTTCTCTACTTTTCCTACTGTTTTTTGTTGCGCGCCTGTTAATTGCAGCCCGATTTTTTATACCTAAAGTAAAAACTATTAATTGTGTTCTACATGGGTTTGAAAGCTACGAACTAACGCGCTAGGTTAATACTTAATTGATTCATGATTATATGTTTTAAGAAACACTCTTTTATGTATGTAAAGAAATGCATAACTTTCATCTTTTGTGGGAAATTGATGGGCTAATTTTAACACTTTTTGTCTTAGCCTTACGTCTTAGTAAATGTAAAGTTAGATTCTGTAGTTTTATGAGGTGCATAAGTGTACCTAATTACCTACATGAATAACCTACATGATTTTGACTTTGACTTGATCAATAATGACAACGGGAAAATATACTATGGGATATCGTTGATAAAAACCAGAAAAAACTGATAGCTAGAGCTATAACTTATATTATGAAAAATTCCAATTTATCCAAACGTATGTTAATTAGCGCAAAATTTTATTTAAGCCCCGAATTCTCTAATAAATGAGCCAAACTAATTGGGGCATAAAGCTTAAGTTTAAGAAAAATGTAAGCCATTATGAATAACAAGGAATTATTCCTCGTTTCATATATTTAACCGGGCAGTAAAAACTAAGGTCGGCGAGCGAGCCAAATTCTGAGAGAGATTAATTAGGCGTTCGTAAGGTTGGCATAACACATGGAATTTTTAATTCAATTTTTTTCCTTTTTAAAAATCTCCAGCCATTTTACCATTATTCAAATGCAAATTTTGCTGGTAGAAAGTCATGGCATCTAATTATATCGTTACTAGCTGTGCCAGCGACTTCGTCCGCGTAGAATAGATGTTTTGGGCATCAACATTTGTGCAAACCACTGCACTCTTCATCTTTTTAAAAACTTAAAATGTTTTTAACTGCGGCCCGACGTTTCGGATGCTTTGCAGCAGCCGTGATCACGGGACGGGCAAAGCATCCGAAACCTCGCGCTAAATTATAAAAAAAAAACAAAAAGGTTTAACTCATATAAATCGCGTTTTAAACCGTTAAAGTGTTTTATTTAAATATGTACTCGCTTAAACTACAGACAGTATTTAATATGAGAATGTATTAATAGTAAATAAAAGTCATGATATTATATTTCATAAATAGAGATGTAACATATGTATAAACGGGAGGCTTTAGTTGCTTTTAAAGTAGATCTGATTCTGAGTAAGGTGCATGTTAAACTAGTTTTTCGCAAACTTTCTACTTGTTACTACATTATCGTCATAACTTAATTAAGTCAACAATGAGCCACGTACTTTTCCTCTGTGTGGTATGTGATTTAGTGCTTTAGTATGTAACATAACATTACAATGCTTACTCGTCAATATTTGCACGAGAAGTATGCGTCAATGGTTAAAATATTTGAAGATGACGTTTTAGGTAGCTCAATTGGTTAGGGGTAGCAGTGCTGAATGTTGTGGATGCCGGTTCATGTCCCGTCGTGTCATGACTTTTTCTCAACCAAAAAAGATTTTTAATTTAAATCAAACTAAGGCAATTTTATAATTTAGCTAAATAACTTTTTATTAATGTATATAGAGCATTGTTCATCAATCGACTCAGAAGATCACAAGAAAGAATAATATATTTTTATGGCCTTTGATAGGTATAAAAGTCATTTAATTTTTACGTAAGTAATATACACGTGGTTTTTTACTTTATTCTGCTTTATATAGCATCTGAAACATCAGGCTAGAGTAAAATTGAAAGCAATTTATGCTATAATTTTTTATTAAATTATATAATATATTATAATTTATTATATATAAGCATATTGCGCGTTTCATCATAGAAAATTTAAATAAAAAACAATAATAAACTACCTAGTAGGTATGGCATGGACAAGCGAATATAGATTTTAACATCTAAATAAAAACCTCGCAGTTTAACATTTTAATAAATAGGTATACATATTTATTAAAATGTTAAACTGTATTGTGTTGTAATATGTAATTATAATTACACATATGTCTTCTATACTCAAATGAAGTTGTGAGCTCAAATAGTGTACTGCTGGTAAATTATATGTACAATTTACCTTCCATTAAAACAGTGCAAATATGGCTTTGTAAAAACCGCAATATTTTATATTGGGTATGTTGTTTGTCATTATATAGTAATTTTACCTTCCAGTTTACAAAATTAACGTAATTTTAAATGTCATTCAATACTATACCAGCTGAGCCAGCGACTTTGTACACGTAGAATAGTTATTTTTTGCAAACCTGTTCAAATTTGAACTGTTGCCCATGACGTCGTCCGCGTCCCGATCTTTTTGCAAGTTAATCTTACAATATAGCAGTATCTAAAAAGCATATTACATATGCTTTTTAGAACAACAAATACTACTTTTTGGGCAGTATTATTATTACATATATTTTTAATCTGTAATTAGTAATTAAGAGTCTATTTACCTACTTTAAGAACGGAGACTTGATTCGTAAACGCATCTGATTGGTGGACTTTAGTAAGTAATTAATGAAAGATTTCTGTTTAATTAGATGGTCAAGGCGAAAGAGACATTTAAAGTTGGGTTCAATTTCCAAGCCAAAATATTTATAGATATCCACTTTCTTTAAAAGTGTAGAAAGCACTGCGATATTAAAAATTTGTAAATGGCTAACGCTTGATTTTCTACTGAAACTCGATAGACTTCTAAAAGTCTATCGAGTTTCAGTAGAGAAATTAATAGAGTAGAGTAGGGACTAATGAAAAATAATCTTAAAAAATATATTAAATATAAACTTATTATATTGTACCTTGTACTACTTGAAACCACAAACAAAGAGTACAATATATGTCGATTTACCCGCGTCATGATTTTTTCAAAATTTTAAGTTTACCGTGTGTAGTTAACGTAGTAACAAGTATTAAAATAAAACACTATAACGGTTTAAAACGCGATATATATTTGTTGTTTAGTTTATATAATATATCGCATTTTAAACCGTTAATTTTTTTATTTAAATCTATAAGATTTTTTATTTATATAACACCATTTCTAGATTTGACAGGATACAGATATTAACTTATTAGGAAATAATTTCTTATCTCCTTCCACATGCTTCTATATCTGTCAAACGGAAATGAAGCGTATCTTGTGTCTTACTAAACATTGCGCATTGATCGCTATCATGATAAAAAATGGTGTTATTTTTTGTTAGTAGAACGTCGAGACTAGTTTTCCGAGTCACAAAGCAAATCTATCGATTAATCGACGCGATATAAATCAAGCGTACACGTCACGTTTGGAACGTATCTGTGCTTTTGACAGATGTCAACCCACTGACTTCGAGCTCGCTTTGCTGATATTTGATATTGTGACGTTACATAACTGGCTCTAGTCACTGGATTCCAGTGGTTAGTATAGAATGCGAATCACGGCTGCATAGTTCGATATCCAGGTCTAATGTTAGTTATATTAAAATTTGTATTTTTTAGGGACGTGGTGGGAAGTGACGTCATCGCCCTGATCTGGAATTCCCATTTTGTAGCAGAATATAAAACCCACTAACACGTTGAAGCACCGTGATGCATCTAAACTCTTTCCTAAGAGAGAGGAGATTAAAATAGGCTTTCAAAATATATGTGTATGAAATTATTTAACTCAATTGTATAGCGCGTTGATTAGCAATTATACTTAACTCTTCAATTCCCAGGTCCAAGTTAATGAATATTTTTCTTTTCTTTTCAAGAAAAATAACTTATATACATTGGGTAAAGACAAAAAAATATATAGAAAATAAATTAATTACCCCCCCCTTTTTTTATGGGGGTGTCACCTGCAGGTGACACTGGGCATTATGGTAGGTACTAATACACTGAACTTGGTAAGACACTTTACTTATTCCTGCAGTAAGAACAAAAAGGGCAAGTCAAAAATATTATATTTATTTATGTAGAATATACAAAAACAGAATACTTATTTATTATGAAATTTGTACCAGCACTTTAGATGCAAACCAACATTGCATTTTCCACACATTTTTCTTGTGCGTTGGTGACAATATCCACATCTTCGCTGAGAGCAGTCCATTTGCGAGTGATCGTCAGCACTTCCTGAACTCCTCACCTCGGCAGGCACTCTTATCTGCAGAGGTAAACCACAATCTGATTTGCGTGTCAATGGTTTGCCATATTTTTGCAGGTAGATCATGGCAACATTTCGCCGGAAATCGCAGTAGGTCCAGTTGTTTTCAGACTGCCTTTTTATTAGCCATGCATTTTGGCAAGCTGCATCTAAGCCAAAAGCAAATAGAGGGTACCACCACTTTTTGCCGCGAAGACCTACCCTCATGGAGTCAACGTTTTCGTCAAAACGATCTACGCCGCCCATGTACTTATTGTACATTTTGATAACGGCGGGGCAATCTACTTGAATTTTTGCCCGTTTTTTGTCTACGAATCCAATTCGATCCACTTTTGTTATTGGATTCAACGCATGGCAGTTAGATGCAATAGTGACGATACTATTGTCATGCCACTTAGCTGTGATAATCTCCTTAGAAGCTTTATGACATAGCTTGCCTCTTGGCTCTTTTTTCATGTCTTTTGAGTTAGGCAAATTGCAATTCTCAAGACGATTTTCCCGAACAGTACCTGTACCTCCAACATTCTGCTCTCGCAAGTATTTCAGCAAAGGTAAACCGGTGAAAAAATTATCAAAATATAAATTGTATGGCCCTAACTCTTGAGGCAATCTTGAATGAAGCTCTATAATAACAGCAGCTCCTAGGCCTAACTCGGACTGCATTTTGAGTCCAGGACCAGATGCGCCCTGGTAAAGCTCACAATTGACTAAATATCCATGGCGTGTAGCTGCTGACCAGAGTTTGTACCCAAACCTTATTGGTTTTCCGTGGATATGTTGTTTAGTACCGTGCCGTCCGAAGTATGGTACTATAGTTTCGTCTATAGAAATGTGTGAAGAACCAGCTTTTTTGAAATTTGAACAGAAATTTATATTCAGCTTTATAAAATATTCTCGAACTTTAGCAAATTTATCATTGGGTGGCAAAGATGTACTGTCAGAAAGATGGAGATATTGCTGAATTTCGAAAAATCTATTACGCCTAATGCTAGATGATATGAGATCATTGTGCGTGTCATTTTTTACTTCCCAAAACATTCTCATATATTTCGGCGTCAAATAACCTGTAATTAGCAATACTGCAATGTACACTCTAATTTCATCACTAGTAACATTTAGAGTGTGATTTCTTTGCAAAGCATATAAATTGCTCATATCTCTTATGAAATTTACTATATCTTCTGTATAGAGTAATTCGAAACATTGGACAACAGACATTTCCTGCCGCGATGCAGAAAAAACTTCTTCATCGCAGTCTCCCTTACCACAAGAAGTAAAATTATTGCAGACAGTATTGTACCATTTTTTTATAGTATTGTCTTTTTTCTTTTTTTTCTTCTGCACCGAAGTTACGCCGATTTCTTCTTCTTCGTCTGCCAAGTCACGGTTTTCATTAGAGGTGGAACGTCTTTCTTGTATTTCTATTTGAGATCGAAGCATGCGACTCGGAAGATGAATAATGTTAGCTTCGTTTTCATCTCCACTCTCTTCTTCCGTCACTGCACCGTCATCAGGAGGAAATAAAATAATATCGCCTGAGTCCTCCCCTGTCTCCAACTCCTCGACAATCTCATCTAACGTCAATCTGTAATAGGTAAACAAGCTCTCAAATCACCATCACCACGTACCGATAGAACAAAACGTAAAAACAACAGTCTTGTTATTCTTAGAATAAATCAGAACAATAGACTTATTATAATGCTCAGTGTCACCCACAGGTGACACCTCATATTTACAGCGTTGTAATAAATATTCTATAGGTATTTTTTCTCACAAAATACAGTTATACTATAGCTTATTTATTCATTTATTATATGCAACAAGAATAAAAACTGTACTTACGGTCGCGGCATTGTAAATTCACTTTTTGTCGTAACAGATCACACAAATTCAGACTGCTCCAATTTCGCGCGAAACAATTGAATGAATTTGACAAATGACATATTGCTAGTGTTGCCAGAAAAATATATTTGTTAATGTTGCTACTTAACTTTGCTACAATAGTGGTAGAATTTAAAAATAAAAATCCATTTAGTTGAAAAAAATAATTAAACAACTGTCACCTACAGGTGACACTGGGAATTGAAGAGTTAAGAGATCTTAGTTTGAATTCCGGGAAAATAGTTATTTTCAGTCAGGCTGTTAAAATACATAAAAACGAATAAAATGTTTCTACGATACGTTCAGATTTTCCACTTACTTAACAAATTAGATTACTTCCTTCTTTATTATTATTATTTTTAGGTTTAAGCACTTACTTATTTGTGATAATTAATTTAAATAAGTTGTTCCAATTTAATACATGTATTTGCGCTTAAGAGTCCATAGAATTGATAAAACGAGAATCCAAAATCTCCATATTGTATAATTAAAGCAATGACCGTGCATGAAGCAATTTTTGGTTCTGAGTAATTTCAACATCACCAAGCCCTTTCAAAACTGAGCGCCCCGTCTATTCATAACTAAAAATTAACGAGTATTTTTTTCGAAATATTTCAATTAAAGTACCAATTTATGAAAGCAATAGAGTTCTATCTAAAGAGTGAAAAGGTTTTCAAAGTATTGAATAGGTAATAAAAAGTTATTCCCTTAACTGAACACTGTAAACTACAGCGCAGAGCGGGTTATTGGATTTTATGGAGTCGAGAGCTTCGAGATTCCTACAAAATAATGGTAAAGCCATAGATTGGAAAATAAATAAGGTTGTTTGTAACATCAATCCCAATACACCAATCGCTCAACTGCTTTCTCTATTCGTATCAATATCAACCATACAAACATTCCCACAATCGGAATTCTTGCATATTAGACCTTAATCAACCGTCCACCCCAGTTAAAACCATGCTGGGTGGTATAATATATCCGAATGTTTATTCAGACCCCGATTTTCTTACCTCGCTAAACACAAGTAATTATTTAATAGTATTATTTGGAATCAAACTAGTGACTAAACCAATGGTATATATTATACTAGCGATACCCGCCTCGGCCTCGCTTGGATGCAATTCTGATAATTTCAAAGATTTTTTTATATACATCATATATAAAAAAATCTTCTTGAATTATCTAAAAAAACCGCATCAAAATCAGTTGCGTAGTTTTAAAGATTTAAGCTTACATAGGGACAAAAAAAGCGACTTTGTTTTATAGTATGTTGTGATGATCCTTTGTATGTTATATTCTGTTCACGCTTAGGTTTCATGTAATCACATAACTATAAATTTGATAAAGATTTTTAACACCTTAGTTACAAAAAGATTAGTATAAATAGATACATTTGGACAAGATTTGAAAGATACCACTGAACGGAGTCATTAAAATAATAAAATCTTTAATTTAAGTTATTTACAAGTCTGATATGTTAGTATGTGTTAGTTATAATGTTCGTTTAGTTGTTAGAAAAATAGACAATACGTTGGTAACGAGTTCAAATTCGATCTCTGACCTCTCTAATTAATTTATAAAACAAAATTTAATATTTCAGTGAATTTCTGTCATAAAATTCGGATAATAGATCGTTCGTTAAACAATAAATAATTAATAATTTGCCACACACGCGATAGCGCTGTCAGAAATTAAATACAATTTGTATGGATTCGTAAATTTTTGATGACAACCACATGGGTTTACAGAAGTGCAAATTATTATGTTATTAACTCATTAAATGATTTTGTGTGATTTATGAATTAATAGAATATTAATAAAGTTCATATACTGGCTGAATAATAAAATAGTATTACTCCAGTGATACATATATTGGACTACAATTTCAAGATAATCAAATCAAAATTAATATATAAATGTAGATAACTAGGTATGCTTTAAAAGTCAATACTATTAAAAAAACACCAAATTTAAACTTACTATCAGTTAGGGATTAAAATAAAGGGCTTAGAATAAACGAGAAACTCGCTGCCACTTCTTAAGACTCATGATAAAATTATATACTACTTAAACTATAAATATGACAAGTTGTGTCACTTAATAATGCCCTAGATGGGTGTCGTTGCGTTAGGCTTTTCACGAACCGAAATAATGTTTCCTCAGGATCCAAACTCAGGACTTTTAGGCCAGCAACGCGCTTAACCATTGAGCCACGGTCGCAACACTGTCTGACTACAAATAATATTAGATTGTGAACCCATGAAGTTATTTACTATCTAGGCTGGTATACTTGATCGACAACAATATACATTTTTGCGGAAATCCGCGGGGAATTTTAAAGGCAATAAAAATGCATACGCGAATCTACATAACATAGAGAAATTTCCTTCAATACAAGAAAGTCGAAACCACGCAGTGAATTCCAGTACATGACTTACTTTGTACGAAGATTGCGATCCCGTGGAGAAACAAAATTCTTTGAGAAAATGTAGCTTTCGTAGCGCGCTACGCCGTAGCACGTCTACGATCTGATAGCCTTGCGGCTCGTTGCATCCGTAGCGGTTCCAATGAAATGTTAAATGGAAAAGAAAATGTGGTTTCGAGTGTTTATTGATTTTGGCACATTTTTCCTCGATGAGAGCTCGAAAATTCAGCGTGCTTCATATTTAGTAATCATATCTCTCTATGTTTCAATTCGATTTAAATGCATTATTAACTACGTTACTGTTTAATTAAATATAGATCTAGTTTGTATGTCAAAATATATTATTGTGTAAAGTTTTAATTTATTTAAATTAGAAGTCTAATTTAAAATGTGTATAGCTATGTAATATATGATCTGTCTATTTTTACGTGAGAATATTTATTATTTATTTTTATATACATTAACAAAGCTATCTAAGAATATTAAAAAAATATTTATAAATATATTATATATATATAAACAATTTTAAAGTCAGATCAGATTAACTAATATACATCGCGTGGTTAAAAACCATTTGAGTTATTTATTTAAATGTCTACTACTACTGTAAACTACAAACATTATACATTATATTTTTTGAGAAAAAAATACATTTTAATACAATGATAAAAACCTGTAGGTTTTTAGCTCTGTGACGAAACTGATTTACATAAAAATTACGAAACAAATTGTCCAATGTTGTAATCGGATTAAACGTACAAAGGGTGTACTAAGCCCCTAAGTGCGTCTTAAAGCCCCGACTGGGGGCTACATTTTGTCTTTTAGCGTTCTAATATTATCGGACAAGACGTGCATTACACTGTAAAGGAAAGTCGAAGCTTTATCGCACACAACAAAGACAATACGTCTCTTTGATGTGCTTGTCCAACTAACGGTAACTAAAAAGTCCAAAATTTGGTTCTTACCGGAGCTAAAGAAGCACCCAATCTAAAGTTATGTGTGTGATTGGCAATAAGAGGGGGGCGGGAGAGGTGTGGGCGTTTCATCGCTAGGTAGATAAGCGGGTGATGAGGTACAAGATTAAGGCACTTTTTTGTATACAATTATATAAATTTTAATTTGTCTCTCATATTTTATGTATTATGTGTATGTTAAGTTTGAGTTTTAAATTCTGAAAATATCGACCCATTACATACATAAATAATTATGATTACATTAATACAATAAAAAAACTCATTATATCTCCTTATTGTTTAAATTTACATATTAATCAGATTATACAGAAAAAAATCACTATTAAAAATCAATGCTATAAAATCCATACTTTTTAAGTTTGACCGTCCTTATTTAATACCGCTGTTTCTTCGCTCTTATTAGTCATAGCGATATGTTTTATAGCCTTCCTTGATATATATGCTCTAACTAACACTAAAATTCATTTCGATACAGTGGTTCCTGAGATAAGCGCGTTCAAACAATCACATTGTTCAGCTTTATATATTAATATAGATGTATGCAAATAATATTGTTTCATCTGCAGTTTTACATTCCGGTGTAATAGGCGACTTATCAAGTTTATTAAGTTTAAATCGAGTTGGCGATCTTCTAAGTCGCTTCTCAAAAGAGCTCTTGGGGCGAACACCTTTGATACAGCAAGTCAAAGACGTCATTCGTTATGACATTACGATGTGGTCTACATAGATATAATGTATTTTACGTCGCTGATCAATAAAGACTATTTTACTATTATATTCGTAACATAGTTATGAACATAATTTTATTATCGGTGTTATTATATGGATGTAGTTGTTATTTCGAGCTCTTTGATGTAATATTAGTTATATATGGTTAATAATGAAAGGGTCAGTCTTCCCGTGACCACGGCTGCTGCAAAGCATCCGAAATGTCGGGCCGAAGTTAAAAATTATTTTCAAATAAGTTTACCTAATATATCGCGTTTTAAACCGTAACAGTACAGGGTTGTGAGTTTAAGCCCCACAGTGTCCACGTGAAATAAGTTATGACTTATTTCACCCTATTGTAAAATTTATTTTCTTTTTGAAGCAGAATTATGATTCTCCTTCAAAAAGCAAATAAATCCTGCCAAATCCCAGGGCAATACATTTGACAATTGTCACGATCGAAACTCAAACAAACTGATCCCCAATAATATTCCTATTACCTTCAGTTTCCCTCATTTAATAAATCTTTACTGATCCTCTTATCCGTTGCTCCAGCTGCCAAATGTTTTTAAAGTAATAATTACAGATACGATAAGATATATTTTTAATCCGATATTTTACAGTCATATTCACCTTCGTTACTTTATTGTAGACGCTCCGTAGGTATATTTTATTTATATATTCTTTATTGCACAAAACATAATAATGATACAAATTAAACTTATATACTAGAATGGAGAGCAATGGTCTTTTCCAGGCAACCTAAAGTTATGAAATGTTAAGAAAATGAGATGTGCAAGGTACGCGAAACAAAACCTGTTTACTATGAGGGTCTTAATCGTGAATATAACCTAGTAAGACT